ATACCCATAACATTGTTGTGTGCTCATACATTAACCACAAAAATGGAGGTAGAATCAGGCTTGCATATGTAGTCAAGCTTGTAATCTCTGTGTTTTTGGCCCTAGAACATTATTTTCAGCATGAAAACACTGCCGACCAGTAGTTGAGGCTTCTGAGAATGCGTGAGAAAAAAATTGTAACAAATGACGTCCCCTAGTCGGGTAGAAATCATTTCCTTTTCCTTCTACAAATGATGCCACATATCCAAATGGCCACGCCATATACCCGAAGTCCATGGCCATTGACTCATTTGAGCATCGTGAGATGCATATCGCGAGGCAACTGCCTACAATGGGATCCCGTACTAGCAATCCCCGCCTACAAGTTGTGGGTGCTGTCCACTTAGTAACAATCTAAATCCAAATGGTTTGACCATTTAGGTCAAGTGGTCAGGCCAATATATTCCCTTTGAAAATAACATCAGCTGTCAATTAAGAGCAAACCTGACTTGTTAATCTCATTATACCGAACACGAGCTTCGAAATATTTAACCATTAAGACATTATAAGCCATGTTGTTGGATTGCCTTTGTATCTTGTGATGACGAGTGTGAAAATTTATGGCTCAAATGGCAGATTACAATCCTAACACTGGTGATGGTTATTGTAATTGTAAGTCTTCACATTCCAATTACTATGTGTGTCAAGTTCTTCTATACCCCTATTATGTAATGACAAGTACATATTGCAATCTGAAGTCTGTAATAAATTTGGATCTTAGAAAAGATTTCTCATTGCAGAATCATGTAGGATATTTTTTAGGCTTGCCCTAAACAGTCTTCTTGTAAAAAGGAAATGCACGACAGTGCTGTTGTAACAACCTTAAGGAATGCCAAAAAGTAAAGACTTTATATTAACGGCTGTCTTAGAAGTTTTAGCACCTTGAAGAGCCACTTAGGAGTATTTAGTTTACCACAATAATCCACTCTTTATTGAGAGTGTGTGTAAAATGAATATTTTTTGTTTCAATAATCACACTAACAAGAGTGAAATCTACAAAAGTGTGATAGGGAAATGGGATCTGTGTTTGAATTGCAAACCAGAGGCAGTGACAGTAGCAAGAATGATGGGATGGCAGACCCAGCATATTTCTTGGAATCTACTTTAAACAAGAGAGGGAATGATTATGTAAGCCCAAAGCAGACATAGCAAAATTATATGACTACATGGCTTGGGAACTTCTACCTGTTTTCTTTTTTTGTTTAAGCTTTTTCTGAGAGTTTTTAAGCTATGTTCTCTCTTCTCCAGGTAGCAGCAGTACATTTGATATTTATAAATAAGCACAAGTAATTTGTCTTCTTTTCTCTTTTGTGCCCTCTAATTGAATCCATGATTTAACAATGTTATCGGCTGTAGATAGAACTTTGCTACGTAAAGGTTTTTGTTGTTGAAAATGCAAGAGGGAGTTTTTCCTCCATCATCGCACAGTTTTAATTGTGATACAATGAGGGATTACACGCACTTTGTAATTTCAGATTTACTGTGCTGCACTTTATGTGCTTTTAGAAAGAATGCATATAGTCGAATCTCAAAGGTTGGTATGAAGCCACAGTTTTACTAAGCTTGACGGTAAACATCTCCTTGAAACACCTGTGTGTCTGACATTTAAACCTAATCTATTCCAATACTTCAAGTGTAACATGCGTTGGTGGACCCATATGCTCATAGTACTAGAATCAGCAGCAAGCCTTGTTATGATAAGTGACATCTCTTTTGATAAAGTTACTGTTATGTTTCTTTTTTGCATACATAGAGTAGATGTTGAAAATGAAGACAGTGCTCCCACGGTGAAATACTACTTTAGTGAACAGTATAATGTAACTCATGGTTTTTTCTCTGTCAATATAAAGTAACGCACAAAAATACCTTCACACACAACTGTGTCATGCAACCATTACACACAGAGACATTTGATAACCTCCTTAGAACAGTTTTTTATAGTTAGAGGCAATGCTAAGCAAGAGACAATGCCAAGCTAAATGTGAGGAGCCATAATGATTTAAAAAGAAGTGCACACGTTTTCAACCTGCACCTGCACTATAGATCTCGAAACAAAGAAACTGTTGAGATTAACAAACACATTCATGTAGCAATGTATGCTTCCCTATTTCAAGGCATTATATGTTTACAGTGGTGAACCAATAGCACCATTTGCATCAATTCTATATTCCTGCACCTTGCTGCGCACACTCAAGTACTAACTGCGCCAAAGTTCACTAGTTCACCTGTTTACGCCGCATCAGATCATTGAATGCCCAAAATTATTCTTGGTCGTCGCAACAAACACCATTAGAGCTTTTCATAATGTCGCCAATTCACTTTGCTTGCTCCTAAGCAAAGTATCTGTGCTGCTGTGGGTGTCTCAGTTGTTGAAAGTTTAGCATGCGGTTGATAGCCTCTCATATTTGTTATAAAACTGGCGATGACACGTAGAAAAGTGACTTGTTTTTTTCGTTCGCAAGTTATGTGGGGTACCATAACGTATCCACCATGGCCAATGGTCAACAGGTATCGGCACTGTGTGCTATCAACAGCCTCTTTACGCAAATTAAGATTCGGCATGAAACATCTTGTTTGTTTTGACAAAAAAAAATATTGAGGCCGCTATGTCGTGCTGAGCAACGTTCTTCGGTGTGCATATTGTAAAGTTAAGCCTAAATATCCACGTAGGGTGCGTCTGGCTCTATGTGGTGCAGCTGCAACTCGCATAAGTCCAAGCGCTTGTTGCACGTCTTAATTGCCAAACCGCTGAAATGCGACGGTTAGCCAGTGCACATTGAAATTAACTGAGCCGCGAAGTTAGCCACCTATAAAAAATAAGTGCTCTCATGCATCCTTAACGCCGTTTGAACAATAAAGTGTTTTGTCCTCAGTCGACAAAAAAAAAAAAAAAAAAAAGGCAGTTACACTGTAAGGGCTGGCTCGTTTGATATCCTATGCAACCGCGCTCGTCGCCCCAGCTTGCGCTGGGGGATCTTCTCAATTTGGACTTTATAGGCTACATGACGGCTGCTGCAAAACCTGTTGAGACTCTTTATATATTGCTGTCACAATAAAAGGTCAAATAAGTCGTCCCAACTTGCAAATTTTTCCCAGCGATTCCCTCACACTTGACAACTGCGCTTCCAAGCGGGCTCAGCTTGGCCGCCGATTGTACACGAATCCAACGTTGATTTCCTTCTCTCTGCTTTCTCCCAAATAAAAGAAAAAAAATTATAGCACTCCTAGCTAACAAGTTTGTTGTCATCTCGCCTGTTCGCAGACACCATAGTTATTCCCCAACCATGTGAGTAGCATGGGCTCACACCCACCCATCGAACCTTGACAGCATATTTAGGTGTAAAATTCGTGAACACGTGGCGCTGCTAAAGCCAACATTTCAACAAACGGATTTGTCTCCTTCATGAATGCCTCGCAGAAATAAACCCTCCCCCCTTCATGTTTAGATGAATCTCTCACCCTGCCCCCTTCGTATCGGCTGTTTACATTGTACCAGTTTCATTTTTTGAGTACTTTCTTTTTCTTAATCTGGAAAACTGGAAGTGCTAGGGCTGAAGTTCTTTAAATTAAAAAGAAAATGTCACTCTGTGCTCACACCTCTAACAATTATTAAGTACGATGGAGCATCATTCAGAAAAAGTAGTGGCGATTATTTGATGCAGTGTCTATGCAATCAATTTCGAACAGTATATTCTTACTTGATCGCGTTTACTTAATTTTCATTGTTTGTTAGACTGCTGGTTTTCTGATTACGGCCTTTCTTTCTTCGGAATGACCTCCTGACATCTGTCATATTGCAGAAGCAGTATGTGGCATGCTTGCCTTGTCACTAACACATGTAACCGTCCTTGTCGCTTTTGCACGTCACGCACGACTTATGCAGTGCCCATAATGTGACACTTTGGTGTAAAGAAGCTGATTGAGGGGGCAGACTGGTCTTTGGAACCGAAAAGTGACAAAAAAAATTCATTTTTTAAAATTGGCAAGCATTTTGCTCTCTGCCAATTTTGACACACCAGGAAGAGGCAATGTTTTTGTAATGTCATTCTAACTGTCCAGATTCTCGGTGCTGTTAACATGCAGAACATGAAAAAAAAATGGGGAACCGGCTTTTTTATGATTTTCCGGGACTTATGTTAGAAGCTCTGCAATGAATTCATGAGCAAGCACCCTTATGAGGATTGCAAAACATGCGCCCCATGATTGTTACTTTTTGAAGAAGCTGTGCATTTTCAGTTTTTACCGTTTCTTTTTTACGACTTTTCAATTTTGAGGCCTCAATGTCTCTGCAGCTAGGAGAGGTACAACAATAATGATTATTGCAATAGAAACTTGTATGTGTAGAATGCGAGTATGGGAGCAGAATTTAGAGCACAAGCCTTTTTAATTAATTACTCATCAAAATTGTAACACAATCCCAACTGCTTTTGAAAATGGATAGTTCATTTTGCTTTGAAAACACCAAGGCCCAAAAACAAAAACAACTCTTGCGTACTTTCAATCTATAGTCATTAGTCTATGTTGGCATATCTTAATATCACTTATAATTAAGCACTTTTTTATCTATGGCCCTTAAACAATAGGGGGTGAACTTAAGTTATCTCAGGAACAAGATGAGTGACAGGAAAACTACTTAAATATCTGAAATCAGCAGAAAAAAGTGCATAATCTTCTGCAGTTTGATCAAGATCACTGAAGAATAAACAAAAAATGTTTTAGACCAGTCTGCCCCCTTAATGGCTGCTCTATATGTCGCCTGTCTCGGGGCTTACATTGCGGGAACATTTGCAGTTTGTACACTAATAAGAATATTCACTGAAGATTATTTTTTTTGCACTGAATGATTCTAAATTACACCTTGTTTGCTCCAAACCTGCTCCACACACATTTCCTCCTACTCCAAATCGTAAACTGGCTGGATCACCACCGTGACCAATATGACAAGACAGAATGAAACTCACTTGAGAAAATCGTGAATATGATGTAGCAGAAGCTGGACACTCGTCTCGTCCAGCGGGGTATAAGCCAACATGCTGCCAAGCCTGAATGAAATATAGGATAAGCTTCCTCCATAAGTTAATATTCCTGCAGCCATAACCACTTGTACAATAAATACAGAACCTGAACTTTTAATTTGTGAGAGTTGCGAGGAATGTCCAAACTTATAAGCTTGTGTGAGTGTATACATATATATATGATTCAAAAAAGAAGTTCTGTGGGTCCGGTGCAAATATAGTTAAGAAATAAGGAGCACACTTACGAAAATTTCATAGTTGTTTACTCTACGTTACGGCCGTGGCACGGCCGAAAGGTAGAGTTAACAAATATCAAATTTTCGCAAGTGTGCTTGTTTATTTCTCAACTATATATATATATATAATATATATATATATATATATATATACACATTTCAAAAAAGAAGTTTTGTGGATCCGGTGCAAATATAGTTAAGAAGTAAAGGAGCACACTTACGAAAATTTGATAGTTGTTTACTCTACGTTACAGCAGTGGCATGGTCGAAACGTAGAGTAAACAAGTATCAAATTTTCGTAAGTGTGCTCCTTTATTTCTTAACTATATATATATGTCTGCAGTTGACAAGAAAATTTTCAATGGCACTGCCAACAACTTCACAAAAGAAAAAAAAAATGCACAAGTTCACACTTCCAGAGGAGTCACTTTTATCTGACATCCCTATGAGCTAGTATTAGGCCTGCTTTGAGAGATGGTGCCACAATGCCTGTAGACGCTTTTACCTGCATTGCAACACAGCTGCATACGTTAGGCAGTGTCCATGGTTTGTCCTACAAAGTGAAACAATGGTGCCCATGCAGAGCAGTGCATAGTGTGGCGTGTCGTAGTGAGGTGGGATGCGTCCTTGCGAACATGCAATACTACTATATGCATTTGAAGATTGTTGCTTCTACTATAATTTCCAACCAATATGCTTTATGAGTAGTGATTTCATGATTTGTGTCTATATTGGAGAGCCAGCCACACTTTTATTACTACCTCAGACAACATGCGACTGTTGATGCACTGTTTGGCTGCTTTGTCGGCAAACAGCTCTATTTGCAACAGTTATTCACATAAAAATGCAACTGCTCAGCTAGAAGCAATAAAGGTAACAATTACTTTCAGGCACAGACAACCGAAAAGTATTAATTGACTGACTTTATGCAATGAAGCAGTTCCAATTACGTGGCATCAAAATAATGAGCACATAGCAGGCTAACCTAAAATAAAAGTAAATTAGGACAAAATTGCATAAAGTTTCACACTATAATACCCAGAAGAGAATTTGATGCTAGTGTCCATGCAGGCTTTTGAGTGGCGCTTGCGCCACCATGGGAATGATAAAAAGTACAGGCTTCAGATGGATTTCGTTTGCAATGCAACGCTTGTTAAGATTTTCAAAACAAAAGGTTATTACATTATATTCACTTAAAACTTACTTAAACTAAAACGTATTGCAGAACATTAAGTATAGCCTGAAACATTTTAACCATCAGGGTATGCATTGCTCTGTACTGCGCTCCGGATATGGCATCACCAAATAATGAATATTTTATTAATCTCAACACATTTGTTTTTCACTTCAAAGCAAGCATCATCTATTTATATAAATAAAGATACTGCATTGGGCGAGAAACAGGTACTTATTATCTGCTGCAATGAGAAATGCATTTGCATTGGTAATCTGCCTCCAACACATAAACAGAGGCAGAGGAGCGTGACGATGAGTCCATGTCAATTTGCAGCCGATTTGAATGACCTTCAACAAGATGCACTTATCAAAAACATGAACTGTATGCAATTTACTGCACTGGCATGAGACGCTACATCTATGCACAGCAGTGAGTGCAAAGACTTTAGTACAGCTGTTGAGTACAACTCGTAAAGCTGCAACGTCACAGCAAACCGAGAAACCTAGTAGTCTTCAGCCTGTTTCAACAACAAAAGCACCATTATTGAGTGCCTTGCACTGCACCCCGCTACGAAAAAAAAATAAAACAAACTGCAGAAAAAAACTGTAGACAGTTTGCTAGCTAATTGATTGATATGTGGGGTTTAACATCTCAAAACCACTATATATTTATGAGAGATGCCGTAGTGAAGGGCTTCGAAAATTTCGACCACCTCGGGTTCACCCAAATGCACCCAAATCTGAGCATACACGGGCCTAAAACAGTTTCCGCCCTCCATCGGAAAGTGGTTGCTCAGATTGGGTGCAACGTTAAAGACCCCAGGTGGTCTAAATTTCCGGAGCACTCCACACGGCGTCTCTCATATACTCATATAGTGGGTTTGGGACTTAACCTCACATTATCATCAATCCATCGGAAATGCACCTGCCGTACAGCCGTCATTTGATCCCGACAACGTGCAGGGTCAGGCAGTCAGGTACCTTAGCCACTAGACCATTGCAGCGGGGCTGGCTAGCTAATTCAAAATCAATTTGAAGCCATGTAAGCCTGCACTTCCGATTAAATACCATGGTGGCTTAATAAGTTGCAAGCGCCAGTTTCAGCTCAAGGTTATTGTACGAAACTTATGTGACCTCGAGTCTACTGCTCAGGCATTGCAGAGTAATGCCTCTCAAAAGGGCAACTCACCGAATAGCCTTAGCAGGTGAATGGCACCATATATTTGTGACATAGAAGTGTCCGGCCTTTCATTTAAAACCTGCGTGTACAATAGAACATTAACTCGGATCACAATCTACAATACCTACTTGGCACATGATTACGGAGCCCAAGCTAGCATCACTAAAGAAGTTTATGACATCCAATGTGACACAGTTAAACTTTTATTAAAAGCAATTAGCAACTCATTTAGCTGCTTTAGCGGCAGTGGTATATTGCTGCAGAGTACTAAATGGTTGCAGGTTCAATACCCAACCAGTGTGAACAGGTACTTCCCGAGGGGGCGGAATGCAAAATAAATGCATTTGTGAATCTCTTCGCTACATACAGAGCTTTAGTGCAGCTTTGGGAAGTTTAACAGCCAAATGGAATCAGCTTCCTGCAGTTACTACAGTTTAAACTGCTTGCTGTATGATGCAAAAAACCATTACAAATATGAGTATAAGTGAACAAAAGTCACACAATTTGCACAGAAAAAAATTGGGGCACTTTTTTTCAAATCTAACATACACAGTGAAATATGAAAGTTGTGGAATAACGGCAATATTTTGTGTGCAAGAGCACATGCTAAATGGCATTTGTGATCCCTGCCTTCCTGTATATGTTAATGTACTTAATCTTTTTTCGCTTGGTAGTGTTTAAGGTATGCACATGCAAATGCATACTCACACGTACTGAAAGACGTCTGATATAAGCATTCAGTTTTCTTTAAAAATATGTGCACCGGTGCAGGCCATTCCTAAAAGGATGGAAATCCTGCAGACTCAATGGGGTCATAGCGTGGTTGCCCACCAAATTGTGTTCTTCAGTGAAGTACAGAAATAGAAAATCTATTGTGCCTATACGTGTATGAAAAATGGCCTGTAGAAATATACTTCATTGCAAAATGAGCCATTGAAGTCACTGGCTATAAACCCAGCCCACCATCGGCGACCGCCATTTTGCCATAGCGTGAGTGATGTCAAGTGACACACGGAGGGTAGCTATCGTGTTCTACCCAAGTTTCAGCAGCTGCAAACCGTTCAATTTTTAATGCCAAAATGAAGATAGCTCTAATATTGCCACTGCATGCACAGCTGACCATGAAGCAATATCATTGGCGAAATACAGACGTTTAAAAAAGAAGTGGCTTGTTACGTCATGGCTCGCAAAAACACCACTATTGTCATACTCCTGGGCCACTCGCATGTTTATAAAAATGCTCATTATAAATTAGGCTCTTGACCTACTGCACTGAAATTTCGCCAGCTTGTTTGTGAACACCCAAGTATTGACCTATATGACACAGATTATGAGCGAAAATTCGGTGTCAGGGCCGCTTTAACTAAAGTCAAATCCCCCTACAACGAAATTGATAGGACGTGTGAAAAAATCTGTAGTCGCGGAATTTCGTTGTAGCAAAATTCATCTACAAACCACAAAATTTGGTAAGATCTGACGATGACTCGTCCTTTGGTCCCTTCAAGCGCACGCATTGAACTCTTGCCAACTCAGACGTGCCTGGCCGAGCACTAAGTGAACGTATTTTCTCGCGTATACCCTAATAAAAAAAAATAAAAAATTTTGAGCTGAAGTTGGGGTGCGAATTTCAAGAGAATTTGAGCACGCAAGTGGGCTTCACAGCACGGCTCACGGCAATGTAATGAAGGCAGCCTAGCGTCAATACGCGAGTATTTTTTTCTTCCTCCCGTGGTTTGCGGCCGGGGATGCCAGTTATATGCAGCGGTAGGTTGTACAGAAGAAAATATGATATTCAGACGAGGCGTGCCGAGTGCACATCGCTGCGAACGAGCATGCCAAAGCTTAGCTAGAGACCAACTGATAACTGCAATTAACTGTGATGAAGCTGCACACTACCGTGGCCATAAGTGAACAACAGGAAAGCCACAAGCTTCGTGTTGTCTAATGGCTTTATTGCCTTTAATCTACGGCTCTTTAAACTGCGCACCTTCAGGTCATATTCGTTATCTATCAAGAAGACGATAGCAACCAACCATGCACGGTTTCCTGCGCAGCGGTTCTGGCAAACAATACTAGCTTCGTTTTCAATCTGTGCGCACGTGATTTAAGAACTGCATCATTGCTATCTTTGTTCGCATCGTTACAGAAAGAAATATTGGGTTGAGTCGGTGCGTGTTGACTGCCCGCGTACTTTTGTGAAACGGCCATGATCGTGTTCGACACCACAGCATTTGTGTTTACAGCAATTGCAGCAGAATGCAATCACGCTGGGACTAAGTGCGCGCTGCTCGCGTGTGCGCCTTCATGCGGTGTGGTTGTTATTCCCGATCGCAAGGCTAGTGATGAAGAGCAGTAGTTTAGTTTTGAGCATGACGTCAAAATATATGGCGGGGTTTCTTGGAGATCGCGATTATGCCGCAGCCCATACGTACTTGCATCAGATCTACCGGCAGCATCATGGTGGGTGGGCGAGCTGTCGCAGAGCATCTCAATGACGATAAATTTAGCAGGATGTGCGTGTGGTGGCAAAAAGTGTGTATCTGTTGAAAACACAGTTGTTGCGATACTGCCTTGCTGCACTCTGGGTGTCAGACGTCGAGAAATGGTCGAGTGGAATTTCGCGGCAATCGAGGCAAGCTTCATTTTATTATGGGGTTGTACTCGGAAAACTTCGTTAAAACAGAAATATCCAGGAAAGGTATTCGTTAGATGAGCCATTTTTAACTGCTTTCTATGGGTAGCTGATGGGGAATCGACAAATCATTCATTATGGCGGAAATTTCTTAGTAGCGGAATTCATTGTAGAGAGATTCGACTGTGATACTGCTCCAGTTGGTTCTTAAACGCGCATTCTAGCATCCAGAGTCGTCCCTCACCAAACTCAAACACAGCACAAGAATAAAGATGTCAGTAATAAAAATTAGGGTTTCAGCTGTAATTGAACCCAGGAATCCAGCATAGTAAAGCATTCTACAACACTGTGCTGTTCCAAAGTGCTTTTCATGAGAAAAACCAAACAGAGGCGTCATTTCAGAAGTCTTGCTAGTAGCTTGACAGGTCTATAAATATTTGATGTCCGCAAAACAAATACATCCTGGTAATGAAGATGTCTATATCTAGTGCACACCATTCAGGCACTTCTGATTGTGTGGAAATGTGTTGAACTACTACAGTCAGACTCAACCCTGCCTTTTTCAGCAGCTTTCTTGCTTCGGTGCCTCAATGATAACAATTTGTTCCATGCCGTAATATCACTGATTGTGCATTTCGCTGACAAAGAAATGCAGATTTTCTACAAAGTGGCAGTTGCTATGGTAATGCAGTTTGTTTTGAAGTTGCACCATCCCGCTGCCAGCTGACTGGTGCACACAAGGCATTGTCACTTTACCTGGTCAATTGCATCCCGCAAGGGTCCCCACTTAAAGTACTATATATCTTACAGCGTGGGCAAACATATTCCACCTAATAAACTTTGATCCCTCAGGGTAAGATAGCCGAGTCGCACTATTTTAAGACAAGCCATCTACAAATTCTATTATTGGTGACCAAACTTACATCAGCATACTGAGGACGTTCAAACTTGTACAAAAGTTGGCTTCCTAGTATCACATTAAAGTATTCCTTGAGTCCATTTGTCACCTCGATGACGATACTCTCCCAGTGTAAAGAGAAATACGGGCTTTTTTACCTTTTTTTGCAGTTTCATACAGAAGAAATCTTGACAATACAGACTCTAATGGAAGTTTTTCAGTAACGATGCTTCAAGCAACAGTAAACACAAGAAAGTGCCACTGAATGTAACTTCTTTTGAAAAAAAAAATAAAAAAATGAGAGAAAGAAAGAAATCCAGGTGTGCTCGCTCTGTCAGAACAAAGGGGGGCTAGCGAAGCTTAGAGTGTGTGTGTGTACCAAAAGTACTACCGTAATTACTCGAATCTAACGCGCACCTTTTTTCCGGTTAAGCGAGTTCATAAATTGCATGCGCGTTAGAATAGAGTACGAACAAAAAAATTACGGTCAATCTATTGCCATCGCAAATCCAAAATGGCCGCCCCCTACGTGCGTCGGCATGGTGCGTCAGCTATTTCTGCCTATGTGTTTACCATGTGCGGCACTTCGTACGTGTGCTGAGGAGTTCGTCATCTAGTAGTGCATTAGCATCGACGACGTGAAAGGGCCGATTCCAAAAAGTCGAGTGCACCACGATGCCGCTTTTAAAAGAAAAGTCATCGCGTGTGCAGAAACGGACGGAAATCGGGCCGCAGCGCAGTCGTTCCCGAAACGTGCGTGCGGGACAGGCGGAAACAAAAGCAGAAGATTGTCGACAGCAAAGCTTCACGCAAAGGCTTCAGTGAACCACAGCAGGGTCGGTTTCCGCAAATTAAAGGGGGATGCTACACCTTCCAAAAACTCTTTTATTTTTGCGAGTACCTCAGTCAAATTTGGAGAGCCTATGTAGATTTTACTGCTGATTTCAAAAATCTAATTCTTTTTTTGCTGTGACAATTAGTTTTAAAGATATAACGAACTGCGACTTTTTCAATTAAGGCCTAATTAGCTAATTAACTGTAACTTGGATATTGATGTGCAACCTATAGAACCAATTCGGTATGTTCACAGTGTGCAATAAAGTATAAATCATTGTTCTGGGCTATTTCGAAGCAAAGTTGTAGGATGTTGAATATGACATGAAAAATTTCCCCATCTACACTTGAAACAAAAGATCCATTTAGAGAATTTTCTTCAAAAATTATTACAATAAAACTTACTTTACGACACATCCTCTGCATTTATCTTCGAAACAAAAAAGAAATCGTAATGATAACCCAGATAGAACAAGAGATATTGCTCCGGCATAATGGGAAGCACATGAAAATTGTCGTTTTGAGAAATCGAGAAAAACGTGGGCACACATTTTTGTTGCAGAAGATGCAACAAGACAACCTCAAAACGCACCAGAAGCATAGTCTGAATGCATTCTGTGCTCATGCCTCCTCTTCACTAGCTTCCGGAGTTCCAATGAGGCTGTTCTTTTTTTGTTGGAGACAATGCTGCGACGGTGGTCTTTTTCTCTCGCTCTCCTGGCACCAGTACTTGTCGCATTCATGTCCATTTCACCTAAGATTGCGGTTGCAGAATTCAAATTGCCCGTGTTGAAGCGCAGCACTGCTTCTGCAACAGCTGCTTCAACAGCGAACAGGGACGCATGGTGCTCCTTGGGGGCCAAACTCCAGATTACCGAATGTAGGCTCTCGTGGAGTTCTGCGTTTTGCCGCGTTCGCACCTCTGAAGCAGGGCTCTTTCCGAAAGCCGAGTATAAACCGGTAGTAATGCCTCTGCCACGTCTTTCGGTAGATTGTAGGCATGCCTGGGGTCGGGCTCACCCTTTGCTTTTGCGGCATTGTGCCGACACCATGAAGTTTCACCAGCTGGGCACAGACTGTGGTCCGAGCATTCATCAGTGGAGGTGACGTGGCGGTATGTGGCCATCACAGCCTTTTGCATCTCGCCCACGTCACCTTCATGCGATTTCTGAGCCCGGCCATAATATGTGCTCAGCCTGGTGATCAGCTCACCTGTGAGCCTGCCTTTCCCACCAAGGCCTCTTTTCCCATCGCACTTTTGTTTCTGCACCAGGTTTCTCAATGCGGTGCCCATCCGTTTCTGTACATGATTAATACAGTCTTCCTTCTGCACGTCAATGTAACCATACACCTTGGCGTCTTGTATGGCGCAAAATGTCCTAGAGTCTCCATCAGACAGCATAGTTGTGTAGCGCAGGCCATGGCGTTCAAGCGACCTCTGAAATAGAATTAGAGCCGCCTCCACTTCCATTTGCCCCGCTTTGCTGTTCGTATTTTTTTGGCATTTGTGGTTAGCCTTCCATTCTTGATAGCCCTCACTACAAGGCTTTGGGCCCACCTCGCAGCCTAGGCAAAAGTTGGAAAGAACGACGTAGTCCAACACGTAGCCACTAAATAATTCGATAACTGTGCCCACGCCGATGTGGGAAGAATGGCCTCGCGTCTTCCACGTGCCGTTGTAGCTAACGGCAATATTGCCCCGGTGGCCGAAGCACAAGTCATCATAAATTGTTCTAACCTTTTCCGCACATTCGCTCATAGCGGACTCAGCCGCTCGCGTTGCAGCGGGTGCCAGCGTGTTCTTCAAATGCCGCTGAAACGTCTTGTGGTGCATACCGCGGTGTGAGATGCCCATTGTTGCGAAAATATCGTTCATTTTCGTTTGGCCGTTGCCGGTAGCCACCATCGCCCTCGAAGCGAGAAGATTTACTTCAAACGGATTGCACATTTTCGTGCCGTTCGCGCGGGGCGAAGTCCATTCATTCGCGATCTCGCCGCACCTTTCACACTGCACTAGCACTTTCACGGCAAGTCCGTAGTCCCGATCCCCTCTGACGATCGTAGCCGGTCCGTGGCAGGCTTTGCAACACAAGGCACCCATTATCGCGTTTAGGATATCTAGATGCATAAGCAGATAAGGAGCAGCGTGGTCCGAGTCCTGTGCGGTTGCCTCGCTACAACTCGCGGTGAAAAAGTCAATTTTCCGTGCAGTTGCTGGCGCCGATGAAAGCCGGTCGAGCGTCGCTTTCTCCCGGGCATGATTTTCTTCAACTTCGGAGTTTGTCACCACTTTGGCGTCGATTCGTAGTCGTCCGGAGTTCGCTTCACCGTCATCGTCGTCGGAGGCAACGCGCTCGGTCGCACCATCACTGAACGGCCGCGGAGCGTCGACACATCGTTCGTCGGAGTCAACCAAGGGCTCTGATGACTTCGTAGACTATCTCCCACGACCTTTGCGTTTCCTGCGACCAAATGCCTGCACGGTCCAATACTTTTTTGCGTTTCCAGGCATGGCGATACGATCAGAAGCTACAGAGTGCTCTGCCGATTTCGAGGCGTCACAGCGGTAACCCTTTCAAAATGGCGTCGGGTCGCGTATGCAGGCGCAAGCCGCAGCTTCCAGCCAACCGGAAAGCGCCATTTCAGTCACGTGCGCCGTTTAGCCAATGGCAGTGAGCGCGGCTCTTCGTCTTTGAGGCCCCGTTTTTCGAGCCGGGGAAACGCTCAATGTTGCTTACTGAATAAAAAAAAACAGCTGAAAACGCGTTCTTTCAAACAAGACCAAAATGGCGCCGATCGAGCGCGTAGTCCCCGCGTATCGTAGAGCCGAAACCTGCGCTATTCGCCGTCAATTTAAAGGGCAGGACGCCCGTTTTCGGTTTTTTAAAGTTGAATAACGATAAAAGTTGATGGTATTCGGCTATGAAATTTTGTAAATAGGTGCGCAATGATGTCGGGAACGCGAAAAGAAGGTCCGCGAAAACTCGATTTTTTGGCTGATTTTCGGTCCCGAAGTGCCGCGTCCCCCCTTAAAGAGCTGCTCCGCGAGTATGTGCTTGAGGAGCGAGCGGCACAGTGGCCCGTGACGACAGAACTGCTCCAAGTGTGGGCTATGCAATTAGTCTTAGAAAAAAGTCTAATGCGGAGCCAGTTTAAAGCGAGCAGGTGCTGGCTAATTAACTATATGAAGAGGAAAGGCTCTTCCCTCCGAAGGGGAACATGCATATGCAAAAACTTTTGCGGAGAAGTACAATGACAAGCTTTACAGTTTTCAGAGGTTCGTCCTAAACTTGCGGCGCAACAACGGCTACCTGCTTGGGCAAATCTGGAATGCCGATCAGACGCCTCTTTACTTCCACATGCCTGGCACCACAACTGTCGAGAAGGGGGCGAAGCAAGTTCCCGTGCTGACATCGGTGCACGGTAAAACTACAGTGACGGCAATGCTCTGTTACACGTCAGATGGGCACAAGCTTCGCCCGTACCTCATATTTAAACGGAAGACACTCCCGAAAGGAGTCGTTTTTTCGAGTGGTGTGATCGTGCAGGCCAGCGAGAAAAAATGGGTGCGCGTTGCAATCGGTGTCTTACGTTTTTTTTTTTTTTCCGTGGTGGAAATCGGGTGCGCGTTACAATCGAGGGCGCGGTAGAATCGAGTAAATACGGTAACTTGCAATGTAATGAAGTAGGGTTGTTAACTGATTTTTACCCTGCGAAGTTTGATTCGAACATATGCTAGCATGCAGCTACAAAGGGGTGCTGCCCGCGTTGTCGAGGAATGTATGCGGCAATCGCAATGTGAGGGTGTGGGAAACGGAAGTGCGGGCTTGTGCAGTACGTTGTAGTCTCCAAGATCACGAGTGCGAATCTTGGAGGAGTAAATGTGCCTTTGCATTTAGATTACAGATTGCGCTAGCATTGTTTTTTTTTTCCTTTTTCTTTTTTTAAATTTGTCAATTAGGGCTGCTATGCTCGATGCAACGTCATTGTACTACTGCGTTCACACACGCCTGTCGATGCAAGCCATGACCTTAAAATCAGACATCCTACGAAAGGTAAACAAGGACAGAAAGAAAAAGTGGATTTGCTTGGTGAAGTAGTTAGGCCTTGAAACATCAATGTGCTTCATTGTTGGGAACGCGCACACCTGCCAGCTTTCCGATTTGCACGGGACACTCTTGACAAACTTTCCGATCGTGCAGGGACGGCCGCCAATCTCCCGAAAAACATCTCCGATACCACCATAAGAAGTAGGGGTATTTTGTGAAAAATCCTTGCGACATGTGCTCATAAATAACACGGTACGCCATGACTATTCGCATTCATATTATTGCTTTCAAGGCCCACTGGCATCTCTCAATTTCAACCTGTTGCAGCAATGTAGTTTTCCGTCACTGAATGAACACTTGCGAAACCACTTTAGCACGTAACCAATGATAACACACCCCACGGTATCATCGCACACACGGGTGGATACAAGTTTTTGCGAAAAGGAATCAGCTTCTGGGAGAACCTGTAATGTACTCTTATTTGAGCGTACACTGAAAGAAAAATTTTAGGACCCTTAAGCTTTGCCTTCAAGAGTTGAACGCAACAGCGTTATCCTGTACCGAGTGCATACTTCAACCAGTTAATGCATACTTCTTATTGCATGATGTTACTACAAAAGTTTCAATTGTGGATGAATACAATGTAACTGATAAGGATAAAAGTGGCTTGAGTCAGTGAAGTTTTTGCATATGGCTGCGTTCTGTGTAATGGGTGGCACACTTTGAACCACAAGCAATTATGCATGTCAAATGTTTTCGAACTTGCTATGCACCACAACGTGTACTTAAGAGAATACGCACACTAACTTGTGTGCCTTTTGTAATGGGTGGCCGGCTTTAAACCACGAAGCCGTTAAAATAATCACATGTTCTGATGACCAATGGCAATGTATGCTTGTATCATGCAATATTATTGCAATATTATCTCTTGTATTGTGAAGGCCGTATACAGACCTCCCGTGTTTGTGAACAATTTAAGTTATGTTCACTGCATTTTCAAGCAGCGGAAGTTGTTTTCACTGTATTTCCAAGCAGATGCGTATCTGTGATGTAGAACACCTGCTTGCCATACAAAGCGCCAGACTTCAATCCTTACTCGGACCCGATAATTTCTTTCTTGATTTTGCGGTCACGGACAAGATTATTATTTTTTACTCACAAGCAATGATACCGGCACGGACACTGGAATTTTCGCAAAATGAGCTCTTGAACTAAATCTTGTTAAATGTAAAAGGGAGGGCAGTCCAGGCCACCCCTATGAACTTGGTAGTTATAGCACATGAATGCTTGAAAAATATGCAGTTATTGATAAGCAACTACCTTGTTAAACTCCAGAATAAAAAACTGTACCACGAACAATGCGCTCAATCACTCGGTTCACTGAGAATCGATGATGTACATGAGCTACCTGACAAACATCTATAATTGTTATCACAATATAATAAAACACAGTAATGTTGTCAAAAGCAGTGGAAGCATGTGCAAGTAGCCCCAATGCAGCTTTGAAGCTCGTACACAAAGTCGGTTTGTCAGTGCCTGCAAGCACACAGCCCGAACATCGTCCAGTTTCTGCATGGCACAAAAGAGTGATCTCTTACGAGTGCCGATGCTTTCACATACCACATCTATTACGAACAGCGAACGTAAACACCCTGTTAGCCGTAAGCAGTGGCTGGAACAATGGAATGATCTAGCGCTTCTCGTCCCCGCGAAGAAATGACATGGAGGTTATTTGCGAGCAAACCGTATTTCAAGCATCCCAGTATTATCTATCTGAACAAGACTGCACACGAAAATATGTTGGCATTGCAGTTTTTTACAGCCGCCACATGTCGATGCGTATGCTCTGTATGTGTTCGTGCGGAGTGCGAGCACATATAGAGTGGAAATGCGCATGGCGGCCGCTAGATGACAGCAAATTTTGCATAATGTCTTCACAGGGCAGTCAATAGAGAAACGAGCTACAGGCAAATAGAGTTATACACCACAGGTAAGCTAAAGTAAGGTTACTCACTTCTTAGATGAAATTCCTTGTACTGACGTCGCCTGTTTCACATAATCCGTGAGAATACGGTCCACAGTGACATTGCAGGGAAGCTGTACAAGCTGCATGCAAACACAGCAATCGCACATTTAAAATCAGAACACCAATTACAAAAAAAAATAATCAAAGCATAGTTCATCAATTATTGATATTCATATGTGGGGTTTACTGTCCCAAAACAACCATATGATTATGAGAGACGCCGTAAAGGAGAGCTTCCGAAAATTCCACCACCTGGGGTTCCTTAATGTCCGCCCAAATCTGAGCACACGGGCCTACAGCATTTTTGCCTCTATCGAAAATGGAGCTGCTGAAGCCGGGATTCAATCCCGCGACCTGGTCAGCAGCCGAGTACTTTAGCCACTAGACCACCGTGGCAGGGCACGGCATTATTATTAAAAAAGAAAATTTTAAAAGGAACAATAATGACAGAACCTGGTATTCCAGACTAATTCTATTCATGTCACAGGCCTCTATAATATGCAAGCCTATATAGGCTACACAACACCCACATTCCACATTAATCACAGATTCAAATGAGTAATTTTAAGCCATTAATATGAGCAGTGAAATACTATGTCTTTTTAATCTTCTTTATGTGGTTGACACAGAGTATCAGGCTTTCAATGGAAGCTGTCCAATGCAGTAAAGTAATAAGCCAATACCTTTTTTTGTTTTGTCATAAGGTCCCAGTCGTCTACAAGCCATGGCTTCAGTTCCTCTGGTATCCGCACCTTGATCTCTACTCCGGGCAAAAATGCTTTTTCCTTTAGAGGAAAAATCCTTTAGCACAGCTATCATGAAACTAGACATGCATTATAGTAATTATACACTTATGGCTCCATCAAAAATGTAGGCTAATGCTGCAAAAACTTATCACAATGCAAAACACAACACATCCAAAATTAAATTTCACAATGGAGCTTCTTTCGAGATTTAAGGAGCAGTTCTATCCATGACTGCTTGGACTTGAATGGCTAGGTGACGTCGAAGTTTTCCCACACCTCAAAGTTTAAAGAGAGTGTGGTTAGAGTATCTCACCGACTCAACATGGGTGTCCAGACGCCTTCGTTTCTTTCTCCGTCTTTCGCCACCAGACTCTGAAGCCTGACTAGAAGTTCGCTGGTAAGAAGCAGCTGCCGCCGTCGCTGCAGCACCTGTTCACATGACAAGTGAAGCACTTTGACGTGGAAACTGAAGCCTCCTCATGCGCAGATTAAGCCAAAATGCTACCATAGCAAACAACTCGTAAAAAATAACAAAAACTGTCATCTACCCATTTGTAGCACATACAAAAAAAAATGCACACGGATTTCTCAGCGAATGGGTTAATCAATAATGAAAGATTGACAAAATCAGGAAGTTTGAACTAAGCCGCGCAAAGCCTGGCTGAGCGAAGCATGGGTGCAGCTTGTACTTCCAGTCAATCGTCTCATCTAGCTTCGAGATGCGAGTCATCAGCTTTTAGAGTTTGCAGTATTTTAAGGTATCCCATGGCTGTCTCTGCATAATCGGGCACAGCCAGGCAATGCACTGTAGAGTGGAGTTGTACACGTCTGCATCAATGGCCGTGGCTGGCTAACGTGCATGTGCGGCTTGGTCAGACGGTGCAGTATCTGGTCTCATGCTTGCTTCCTCTTTCTATCTAGTTTTCTCTCTTCATGTCCACGGCTTTAAACTGCTATGGGACGCTATGCAAGTTGGGCTCCATCACACACACAACTTTGCATGGCGTCACTCGAGCTACGCTCTGCATCCCATGGCTTCAGATTGCCATAAGACGCCATGCAGCAGTCTCCATCACAGAGCATGTGCTGTGCTCAGTCGTTGCTAGGCAATAAAGTGACAGTTTTTGTTTTTTTTTCAGCACCACTGCCATCGTTATGGTTCGACAGTCGGTAGGGCACGTGCTAAGCTCGGCAGTTGCTAGCCAACGGCGCAGCAACTTTTTTGGCAACACCACTGCCATCTCTGTAATTTGATTTACAGCTTTGCTGTTACAATTCATCCTGGTTTAGAATTTAGCCCCTTAGGCCAACGCATTACTAAGACGCTTGCCTTACCACCTGAGCTAACAAGGTAAGCATATCACAGCGTGATGGCATATTGACAACTTCCAGCACATGAACATGAAACATCAAAAGAACAGCTCTGCAGTGGCCTGCTAGGCCAAGGAACATTTATGAAAAAGTTACTTTTAACCTCCACGAACCTCCTTTCCCCGTCATGCTTTCTCATAACTGATTTTTTTCGAACAAGGCATTCTACGAGCAGAATAACCAAGTTACAAATATCCAAGGTGTGTGGAGAAATTTCACGCAATCAAAAAAAAAAAAAAAAAAGGAGCAAAGTGAATAGCCCACGTGTATGCTCACAATATGACATGTGACATCATAACTAAATGCAACAAGTGGTATGTGGAACCGTTTGAGACAACCATGTTGTATTGCTGCGAACCTAGCCACAAAAAGTGATGTAGACACTGATATAAGTGTATGAGCCAATAGTGTTCCCGACACAAGTAAACACAGGTATAGGCGTGCACCCGACTATAGGTGCTACTTAAACCTAAATTGGTGTTTCTATTCCATGAGAACTGTGCAAAGAAGACAAAAGAGCCTTAACACATACCTTTCCGTTTCTGGGGCTTTTTTCTGCATTTCTTCTCTACCTCTTTTTCTGGTTTAGTAGCTTTTTTATTTTTCCTCTTTCTGGAAAGCAATGCAGAACATTGGTAAACATGAACCTTCACTTTTCTTTTCTTTTTGGCAGTCCTCGTTGTTATTCACTGTCGACGAGATCTGAAAGTTTTATCTGTATTGAAGCCCCCATACCTCCAAGAGTTGTGAAGTGTAGCTGTGTTGAGATTTAGCTTCGCAAAAGTATGCACATTAATAAAAACTACACAATACTGTTTAGCTCGTTGGAGGGTACACCTTACTAACAAAGGTTTTGTCGAAGGGTATAGGTTGCATAAGAACGACACATCATCTTCATTCCATTGTCGTGTGTAACTCAGATAATTGCCACATGTGCTAAATTAAACTCTTGCATCTACTACTTTCAAGTCTTGGAAAATGTTTTGCAGATCGGTGTTAGCAGCAAGGTGTCACTCATCCTCGTCTTGTCATCCTCGCTAATAACACTGATCTGGAAAAAAATTTCCAGGTCCTGAAAGTAGTGGACGTACGAGTTTTAGTTAGCACTCATGCCAATTTTCTGAGTCAGCAGAGCGATGAATTGGGCTAATTGATTTCTTGTTGCACTTCGAATGACAAGACTAGGGTAAAAAAGTGAATGCAAAATAGGTGGTGCGCAAACTCGCAACTGGTTAATTCACATCTTGCAAAGTGTTAAATATAGGTTAACAATCTGATATGATGGATGGGGTCATCACGAAAAGACTAAATAAAGGTAAACAAAGATAATGCATGCATATTGCATATGCCATCATAAGCCCAGACAAACTTTTTGCATATGTCACTTTCTACAAATTTTATTTCTGCTAGTTTTAAGTGTAATAAGGGTGTACTGATACATTGCTGTTTTGCAGCTATGATAAAAAGGGCTTTTCTTTATTTCCCTAACGTTTTCACCACCACCATGGGCTAACTATGTGGTGACCCAGAAATTGTGAAAAAATTTCAAGAATGTGACATACACAATGGCATTTGCCATATGCATGAATTATCTTTGTTTACATTTAGTCTTTTTGTGATGTCCTGCCCTTCACCTCATCCATCCTATCCGACACTTTGCAAGATGTGAATAAACCACTTGTGGGTTCGCGCACCACCTGTCCTGTAGTCCCTTTCTCATCCTCATCTGCAGCGCAACACTAAATCATGAAGTAGCGAGGTGTATGCAAAAATTTTAAATTCTGCTTTTTCTTGTATGCAATATGTTGGCTGCCACAGCTCGTTTCTATAGAGATGAGTGACACAGATGCTACATTTTCGTGATGAAATTAACATGTTCTTATTTCTAATACAGCACTTGTGTCATATTAGAGAGAAAGTGCTCACATATGGAACAAGGGGCCTGAGCAATTAGTTACTGTAGGTACATAACAGTTTAAGTAAACTCAGGGATTGAAATAGAGAGCAACTACCTCCCCCTGATGGTTGATGCTTAGTAAAGCATATGGTTTGTAATTGTTACTGTTGTCTTAACATTCAGCATTGTTCTGCCACTTGACAGAATGCACATACATGGCAAAGCTTATATTGGCTTTTACTGCAAACTTGTGCAAGTTATGCTGAACAAGACATAAATTGGAAAAAGCTGAAGCAAGAAAAAAAATAAAACACTAAGAAAGAGGAGGGCAAGAAAAGTACGGCCTTGGTGGGAATGCACAGTGCTTGGAACATTGTAACGAGAGCACCCTATGGCACAACATGACTCCGCATCACCGAGTGAATCGCAATGCACAGCTGTGGACAGATTAAATGCAAAGCAGAAAAAATTACACAGTAGAATGCCTTTTGTGAGCGATACGCTGAGGGCATAATCATGCACTGCTGCTTGTCCAGCTGCCAATGATAATATACGAGTCAGACTAAGCATACAAGCCGAGCCATACTGAATGCTCCACAGAAATGCGTGCAAGAAAAAGACACCAAAAATCCTCGTCTCTTGTTCCACACTCATCATGAACAAGCACCAATTCGCCTAACTGTCAGTACTCCCAACACAAGCTGGACTCCACACCTATTGGAGTGCGGCCATGACTGCTGGTGTCCAATGTCCACAGCACTGCTCTGTAATGCAATGCCACTGGGGTCGTAACAAACTAGTTCTCACATTTAACATGTCTACAACTGCACATCTGCCCTCTACAATTATGAGAGTGTGAGTTTTTGCAGGCACAACTGAACTTGTCACTTTGGTATCTAATTCTTTTAAAGAAGGGCCCAAGTCGAATTCTGTCAGTATGTCTGTATTACTATGACAAGCAGACGAAAGTTACCATAAAATTTTACAATACCTCAAGACATCGCTTAAGTAATTCATTCTAACATGCACAATCTTTCAGAATGCACTCTTAACTTTAGGAACTTTTTACAAGTGTCTGCCAATACAAGCTCTAAATCAACCGAACTCGATTGCTAAATTATGTGAGCTGGCAACCTAATATTTTCCCTGTGCCCTCCTAGGTTTTCATGTAAGAGAGACAATGAGATACAATTGACAGTTGAAGCCTTTCATGAAAAATTGATTTTCCCAGGTAAAAGGTTGGGGGACGAGAGAGACTAGAATGATTTCGACCACCTGGGGTCTTTTAATGTGCAGCCAATCCAGTGCAATGATACATGCGCATCGCAACACATTCAATGCCGTGGAAATGCAACTGCTGTGGCCACACTATATGAATAATTTGCTAGGAGAGCAAGCACCTGCAGATGCAATTACTTTTAAAAACCATTAAATTACTGGACACCACCTCAGACCTTGTTGCAGACACGTCTAATGGCGTGATGTATCTATGTGGGTGCATCTCATTAGGCCTTCAGATAGCAAAACCTCCAAATGGCCTCAGAAATAAGTGATGTATCTATGTGGGTGCATCTCATTAGGCCTTCAGATAGCAAAACCTCCAAATGGCCTCAGAAATAAGTGGTGTTACTTGCCAGCTTCGAGGAAGTGAAAACTCATAACACCTCCAAGAGACCAACAATAGTGAGAACACAGCAGGTTCGAGAATCAGCGCTGAAGCTAAAGTTTTTATCATGTGCCATGTGACGTTATTTTTCAGCATCAATAAACATTACGCATGTTAAACTCCCCATGCGGCACAAAGGAAACAGAAAAGCCAAATGACATACAAAGAATGCTCAGAGAAGTGCACAATGTTCTTGGTTGTGGAAAACACAACTTGAAAACTGTGTGTTAACTTAATCAATTTGGAAAATCTCTTTATCACCTTGATCTTCACATTCTGTTTTGTTTGCACTACAGAATAAATATTGCTCCCACAGTCAAAACATCTACACCTCCAGGCAAGTAGCTAAAGTTGAAGACTGGGCTTGTTAGTGGAGCATGACAGCATATTGTAGAGCGCAACTGATTATAGGGACACAAGAAAGATGCACATACAACAAAGTGCTTCATTCAGTGCTTTGTTATGCATCTTTATTGTGTCATGTCGATCAGTTGTGCTATGCAATCTACAGGCAAGTGCACAAGACAGCCCCTGCAGCTCTCCTGCTCACACCCATGGCTTTCGGTAAATATTGATGCTAATATCTTCATTGCGGTAGGTGTGCCTGACACTGAAATTTAGAGCTTGTATTGGCGTCTTAGAAGCAGACTATAGCAAGGCAAAGTGGGCAGCCAGCTAGCAAAGGTGACGGCGAATGGAGTGAGGGGGAAAGGTGGTACTTACAGAGCAGAGTGCGAATGAGAGGCTGAGGACCTGAGCGACCCGAGAAACAAAAAACACGCACACATACATACAATGATGGGGTGAAAAGCCCTATGAGCAAAAAAAACAAAAGCAACAAAACACACAACAATGCACATTTAAGCTCAGTGATAACACTAACGCTGAGCCAGAATGGGTGTGCAAGTGTCTGGGCTATTTTAAGTAAGCTGCCACTTGCAACTTTGTCAATTTTCCAAGCTTGTGAAGTGCACTACCAGCCAGTAGTCACAGAAGTGCACAGAAGACAGAGTGAGCAATTTATTGACGTGTTAGTTGCAGACAAATGCTAACCGCAGCCAAACCATAGTTACCCCGCAACCATAGTTGCACAAGAAAACTGAGCACCAGTTTTTAAATTGACACACTTATGAAGTTCCCAATGATCTAGCCCCCACAGCTAAGTCCAGGAACCTAGTCAACTTTTTTTTCCAGTTTCAATAAAGAGGAAACAATGTTGGTTTTACAAATATACAGCAAAGTATTCAACTCTGTGCTGTTTATTTTATTGATAATAATCCTCAGCACAAACTGAGCCTTTTATTGACTAGTAAATGTCGCCATATTCCACTGACTAAATACTGAATTTATTAGCAAGGTGGCAAGTTGGGCTAGTTGGATAACGTTCATGATTGAAAATTTTTGTTGAAGCGCACTGAAGACAGACGGATAATTTTCAATCATAAATTTATCACAATTGCTTAGTGTGCAAGTGCATGAACAAGTAAAATTAGTAAATGCTGAGGAGCCATGTATGCTATAATGTGTTCTCATGTACGGTCTCTTTCACACTTAGGGGAAATCTCGGTGCGCATTGCATTGTGATGCGACCAGCACTACAGACGCGTGCCATCAGCAGCTCGTGCAAGCTCAGACACTTGAGGGGCGTGCCATTGAACCGCATTGTCTGTGACAGCGGTGCGCGCTGGCCACGATGTCGGGCAGCCTGCCAATTTCATCACTGCTGTGGGAACTAGGCCGATATTCTGTACTTAACGCTGTGCGATGCCAACCTCTCAGCCTTCATTGGCAATAATGGGGTTCCAGAAACAGGGCTCCACAGCATATGCTGCATGCTTTTTCAAAACGCCATGGTACCGAGTGCATTCACGAATATTTTTTTCTTTGTGTGTGAACCACAGTATGCTGCAACGGGGAATACCATGATAAGCACATACCACGCGTGGCATTTATTTAATGTCAAAAAAGAAAACGAAGCACTCGACAGTAACTGCCGTGCAGCTATGCACGTTCAACACAATAAAACAAATGAGAACGAGTTTAGGAATGCTGCAGGTTGAAGAAACCAACTGAATGTGCTTCTACTAACATTACTTGAGGCAGCACTCACTCGCCGGCGCCAGAACGTACGCATGAAGCTTCCAACTTCCCTCAATACCCCAACATGACCCCAACGGAAGTGATGTCAGCGCTCATTTTGGACAGCAGTGAGGGGTACTGTGACATGATAAGAAATATCAGCCCAGTACCTGACAATGCAGCCAGCAACGCGGTTCAGATGTTCAACACAATGTCCCCCAAGCGTCTGTGCACGCGTGAGCTGCTTACGGCGCACGACTTCCATCGGGATGCCACGCACAACGAGATTTCCCCTAAGTGTGAAACAGACTATACACTTGATCACATGCACACTAGATCAAACTGAATTTATAGCCTAAATTTAGTGAAGGTGTCAATACAATCCGAATAAAATATTGGTGTACGTATGATTCTTCTACAACTTTTCTACGTACCTGCACACCAGGATGTGCTTCATGTTGTATGAAAGGACATCATAGAAGGCATTTATGCGTTTCCCACAAGTATTTACTGGCTGCTAGCATGGCACATGCAGGCATAAAACTGCACAATTCTAAGTTCCTTTGCTTAATGTTAAACTGAGCTGTGGTCATCAGAAAGCATTTCTGCAGTGTGTCTTCGATTATGTGCCACAATACTGTGAGTTTGCTATGAAAGAGCATTGCTGGGAAAAGCCTACTATTTGCAAATCTACCCCAAAAGTACCACTATTCGCAAAGCCCCACAAAAAAAAGTGCAATATTTATAGAGAAGAATGCAAGAGTCTACACTAGTCATGCTAATACATGCCAATAACAGTCCGACATGTGAGCAAGATTAGCATGGCATGGACTTACAGTGTGACGCCACTAATATGACATAAGATGCAAATAGCCATTAGGACAAAATTCTAACAGATGGTAATTTTACGAGTGCACAAGAGCACCCATGTACTTAAACAAGCCAACACAAAAATTTTGAACCTTGTTCTTCTTTTATTAGTATTATTATCATTTTTTGCAATAGACAGCTTACAGCGCACTTATCACGGTTGGAAACCTCGTTTTGATGAGTGTGAGCATTTATTTAAAGATAGTTTTTAGAGTGCCCAGTCGCAGAGCACCGAGCTAGGCAGTAGCTGTTCCAGCAGCAAGGTAAACACAGCTGGTCATGTGACCCCGCAAGACAGTGACGTGGGCGCAGCACTGACAGCTAGCCCACGCAAAGATGCAGGCACGGAGGAAGAAAATCGTAGGTAGCGCAAGCAACCATCCAATACAAACTCGTGACATAGGTTTGTATACATTGCTGCCGCATTGATGTTGGCATCATGAGGGGATCAGCATTACACTCAGTCATGCAGCATGCAATTTAGGATTGATTTTAAGGGGAGATGCGAGCCGAAAAATCGCGTTTTTAGCGAAATTTCTTGTATTTCTGATTTTTATTGCATTGTAATCTTCAAACCTTCTTCTTTCATTTGTGAAAATTTCAAAACTAAATTCGAACCGCAAAATGCAAAAAAAAATGTGTATGAAGGCATCGCGGTGGCTCAAAATTTTGTGAATTTGCGCCGATATTGGCCATTTTTGACTGCGCGCTGCTCCCCGTCGCAGTGCCGCCCGCCATCGCGAACGGTTGGGAAAGTTGCGTCCGGCCTTCTTCTTACAGCTCCGACGACCGCCAGTGTCATACGTGGGCAAAAAAAATATGAAAAAACGAGACCTTTTTATCACGTGGTTTGAGCGGTTTGAAACGCGCGGCACCCTAAGCCGCATCGCCATTGCCTACCGAGTCATTGTCAGCTGTGCTGGTGGCGGCACTCGGCATTTGGTCCGTTTGCTTTTCTGCGCGTCTACGCATATTTCCGCGATGACAAGCCCGAAAAAGTGGAACGTGAGGCCGCAGAAGTTTCGAACGAAGCACAAGTTCAAGGGAAGGCGGCGTAAAGCGCCCCGAACGACGGCGACGAACGAGAACGCGCCTACGTGTGCTAGGCCTGACGGCGGCATCGACGAGTGCGCGAGCGACAGTGGCTGCGATGAAGGGATTGACGCTGCGCTTTCTTTCGTCAGTGCTTCGGAAAAGAAGCTCGGCTTCTTCGAAAAAGACGAAAGACAGCGCGATGAGGTTTGTGCAACGACAGTTTTGTGCGACACCCTCTTGCTGACGGCACTTGTGGCAGGTGCGGCATGCCCTGCTTGCGGTATTCAAAAACTTGCCGTTCGGGAGCCGGCAGAAAAGCGCAAGGGACTTTCGTCGCTCCTCGAACTTCATTGCGAAAACAGCGAATGCTCAGCGACTGTTCTTTCGTGCTCCTATACGTCACTGCGTGTTACGGCGGACGGCAGCAGCCGAGTGAGCCAACGGTACGACAGTGGGAGCTCCCGAGATAGTTTCGCTGTAAATGTGAAGGCGGTGGTGGCTGCACGCGCTGTCGGCATTGGGCATGAGCAATTGTCAAGATTTTGCTTCATTATTGGACTCCCAAAGCCAATGCACCACCGAGGATTTTTTTTTCGATAGCAAAGAAGGTGCACACCGCTGCCATGGCAGCTGTGAGTGAAAACTTGCGCCGATCCAGAGAGTTGACGAAAGAAGTAGCAGGCGAAACTGATCTGGCTGTTATGTTCGACGGCACTTCGCAGAAGAGGGGCCACAAAAGCCACAACGGGATTGGCGCAGTTATCTCCTTAGATACTGGCCACTGCTTAGACTTCGAGGTCATATCAAATTACTGCCTGACATGCAGTAGGCACAAGGATATGGGCCCAGACGAGGAAGTGTGGCAGGCATTCCATGGCCCAGTCTGTGAAAAAAATGCAGACTGTTCCTCCCATGCCATGGAAACGGAGGCTGCAATGCACATTTGGCAGAGAACATTGACTTATGACACCCCACTGCATTTCATGACATTCTTGAGTGACGGTGACAGCAAAGAATATAGTGCAGTTGCAGTGTCAAAAGTCCATGGTGCTGTCAATATAGGAAAAGAAGACTGCACTAATCATGTGGCCAAGAGACTTGGCACCGCATTACGGAAGCTGCATGTGCCATTACCACGAGGGCAAAAAATGAAAGAGCCAGCCATTCAGAAGCTCCAAACATACTATCAGATTGCCATAACAAGCAACAGGGGGAGTGTATGGGATATGTACACTGCAGTATGGGCTTCGTACTTCCACTCATGCTCTACTGACAATGCTGGCAGCCACAAGTTTTGCCCTGCAGGAACAGAGTCATGGTGCAAACATCAACGCGCAGAAGCACTTGGTGGACCTGCACCACGCCACACACCTCTCCTGACAAAAGCACAGGGATTGGCTGTTTTGCCCATTTATAAGCGGCTAACGGATGAGAAGCTCCTTGCTCGATGCATCAAAGGGAAAACCCAGAACGGATCGGAATCTCTGAACAGCAAAATTTGGCTACTTTGCCCCAAGACTAAGTTCTTCTCCCGAACGGTTGTCGAGACTGCCACAGCTATGGCAATCCTGTGGTTCAACAAGGGTCATGCTACTTTCGAGCACATCCTGGAAGAGCTCAACATACTGCCATCTAGAGATCTAGTTACTTTCAGTGATTCCCGCGATGCGAGGTGCATCAAGAGAATGTCCGAACGTCTGACAGCAGAAGCAAGGGCCCACCGTCGTCGTGGAGTGAAAAGGGCACGGCTAGAAGATAGTGCTCGCAAGGACCGTGAGAGCACAACCTATGCTGCAGGACAGTTCTAGTAACTGGCAGTGCTTTTCAAAGTTCTGTTGAACATTATGGCCAAACATTATGCATTTCTAACAACTCTGTGATAAAAAAAAAAACGTTTCAAACTTTCAAATGCGTTTTTCTCCTTTTGCAGTTTTGTGTGATCTGTGCTTCTTATACACGCTAGTTCGTATACTTACAATTGTCATGCCTCTATGAAATTTTGCACATAGCATGATGACGGCCAATAGAGTGCAAGTATTTATTAAGATTGTCAGTGCTGCTTGATTATGTTTCTCAAAAATTACAAAACATTGAAAGCCCTTGGCAACTAGAGCCATAGTAAATTTGTCTATTTTATTATTGTATTTCACCTTTTTACACACAAAATTTATATAGTTTTTTGCACTCTACAGTTTGAAAGGATCATAGTCAGCTATATCTGCATGCTTTATCTCAAATTTTTATAGATCAGAATTGTTGCATAACAATGGCCATAATTTTGCAGTATCTGACCTGCAGAAAGAAAACCAAGCAATCTACATGAAAATAAATGACATATTCGAAAAGAGGATAAAAAACTCTATTAGCATGCCAATTTGTGTTAAATTCAGACTCTTATTAAAGAAAATCGTTTTTCGAGTAGCATCTCCCCTTAAATATGTTCTAAACTGTAGTTGTCCTTGTTATTGCATAGATATTGTGAATGTCTCCCCCAAAATCTATATCACTCATTATCTTGCCTTCAAAATTTTGTGTCTGTGCTCTTTTAAAAGACTGCTGGTTTCACGATAACTGGAAATGAGATACTCAACCGTTTGCGATACAAGTGGTGAAAGCTTACTATAAGCACCATTTCATAAAGCCTTTTAACTCTGAACATAATCACAGAAGTTCTTGGAATGTAGAAACAGAAGAGGAGGACAAGCACTTTGCATTGAATGCACGAAGACCACAGTTCTGTACCACATTTAGCACTTTTGCCGTGGACTGATGTAATGCTTCCACATTTTGTGGTATGCAGTAGTCCTGACAAAATATTTTGCAGCTTCTGCGTACTACAAAGTTCTGCCACTGGCTGTACATACTCGAGCAATGTTTCAAGAACTGTAAATTCACTAATTATGAAAGCATGATTACAAAAGTCCTGATGATGCTAGTCCCTATAAATGCCCCTTAGAGGGATGCTGAATCCATGTATTAAACCACTTCAGACCACTAAATTACTTTTTTGGAAAATCTGCGGTTAATCTTTTCATAGCGGTTTCTGTACAAGAAAAGAAAATGAAAGTCAAAGCTTCACTTTTTGAAGCAAAGTGTCGGTATGGTCCAGTTGGTATTCCGTTCCGAGAGTGATTACAGTGCAAGGGAAGACACAGGAAAACGACCAACGAAGACTCTTAAAATTGGGGCCTATGCTTCGGCACATTAATTACACATGCACTACTCCTTGAAAAAGATCGTTCGCATTATAACACTACAAAATAATCGAGAGCACTCAGAGTTAATGAAAGCTGAAGTCACGAAGCAGGGTATCGGTATGTCGAATTCTATTATATATAAATGTATTCAGTGGACATTTGTGTGAAACAAAAAACTGCCAGAACTAAATCTTGCTGCCATTAAATCTGGCCCTGAAATTTTGGCCCTTAGTAGATACTCAATGAGGTGTAACAGACATACAACTGTACGTACTAGTCAGCACAAGCACAGTGATCTGAAGGGATGCGCAGGTGCACATATCGGAACCACTATATAACCGATCAAATGCAGCTGGAAAACAAAAGTGGTGTGTATTGCAGCTTTCAGTGTATGTGATTTTTACAGGGAGTTCAGATGTTCAGCCGAATATGGCACGCATGCACAAACATCTGCAAGCACACTGCAAAATATGCAGAACATGCTTCCTGTACGTAAGGCAACACAATATAGAAGCAAAAAACAACGCAATGCTTACAGGTGTGCCTTCTGGAGTTCCCTTTGCTTTTCGAGATTAACATCGTTGAACTCAAGTACGCGGCTTTCAGGAACCCACTCGTCCCAACTGAAATTGTGATAGAGTCAGGTAAATGCTGGTGAATGATTTGATGTGTTTTATGCCGGAAATATTCTGATGGTTTTATGAAAAAAAAAAGAGGATTATCAAGATATAGGGCAACCAAGAAAAATGATACATAAAATATAGCAAAGGTGCCTTAGAGATGTTCTGCTTTCACACATGCTGCAAGAGCCAGTTTGTTGTGTTACTGACACTCCAATGTCCGTTTGAGACTGCAAATGCTTCACAATGAGCAGTGGAAGTGTTTATCTACATGCATGTCTATTCATATGCTTCAGTATATCCGAGCGTTCGACTTCCAACATTCTAAGTTACATCCGACACAAGTTTTTTGTATGCAGGGCCGCCGTCTACTAACTCTTCTGGATGGCCTCGTAAGGCTGCATTGCTGAGTGTTCGCGGTGATGGCTTATCGAAGATTACAGCATGTGACAGCATGTTCTCACTGACACCCTTGTCACACAACCGCTTTGGAGTCTCGTCGCAGACTGCATTGATGGCTTTTTTTAAATTTTAGATTTGATAAACCAAACCGCCCCTCTTCAAGTAAACTACAATGTAGAACGTTCCTGTTTTCCCGACTGCTTCAGAGTAAATGTGGAGGCTATTTACAACGTCGGGATCACCTGGATGGCGCAAGCCACGTGAATGAGTGACTACAACTTTACAAAAGTCGAATTTTCTTTTGTGGCTGCTGCCTGAGAACGCACAGTCTAGCGGATAAAAAAAAAAGCAATATCGAGGCAGGGTCGGTCCGAATGGAATGCGATGCGCGCGTCTCTCTCCCTGCATAAGTAGGCTGATTGTGACCGTACTACACGAAAACGCGCGCTGGCGTCTGTTTTCTGCGTTACGGCCACTGTTAGCGAACTAGGGACAGCGCAGTGCAACAAACGCAGCTCCATCTCCAGTGTAGGCGCTGAGGTTGCACTGGACCATTGTAAATTTGTACTCACTCACGTGGCTTGCGCAAGAGGCTGGTCCTATGTTATCGATCGTGAGTGTTCTTACTTTTTGTTCCAGCCCCTGTAGTGGATAAAGTACATGGTTTGCTCGTCTTTAACCTGGGCCTTGATGCACTGTAACAGAAATCAAACGAAAGGCGTTGCTTCCCTATGATGTGGATCGAAAGGCCAGCAGACGTCAAAAGCACTCACCTTTGCTTCGTACAACAGAGGCCCTTGAAAGCACAGAACCTTCTCACCTAGAAAAGAAAGAAAAAAAGGACAGCAAGTATTAAAGCCCACTGCTGCGCTCAACAACTAAGAGGTACGACACAATAAAAAAAAAAGTAACGCGGCGATCTTGCGGGAATGTCACATATAACAGTGCCACTAAAAAAAACCAGCTAAAAATTCACATCAGAGCGTGAACTACTTATACGGAGACCAAGTCATCCTCAGTATGACAAAGGTAGCTCGCCACAGCTCTGCGTAAGACTGAAAACGGTTCCATGCCGACAAATATCGACAACTTAAGAAATAACTGATTCTCTTACCATCTTGAAACCTAGCTTTCGACGCCATGTTGTTCACCGACAGAATTGTATAATATTCTAGTACACTATAAGAATAGAGACGAGACCTTCGAACCTAGACAATAACGTCAATCTCGGCGGCAAAAAATTGATGCACAATGTTGCCCACTAATAAGTAGCGCTCGTTTTGCGCATGCGCAAGAAATCTGGGGACGTTTGCGTCATAGCAAGATGGATGGATGGATATGGCTGTCCTCTTTAGTTCGGGCGGCGGCTACCGCTACCTAGCCCTAATACTTAGTAAACTAACCATTAGATTTATCTTTTTTTCCTTTAAATAGTGAGGTTGAGGATTTGTACTTTGCAGTGAAAGGTTTATTTTCAGAACAGAAGGTAGGGCACCATAGTAGCCGTTACCGACCCTAAGTCGCAAGACAATCCAAGATCGATTGTTGGCAGTGTGGCAGCTTGGGCTCGTTGGTATGGCAGGACGATATTTATAGCGCGAAAACAAAACGACTACACAGGGACGAGAAGCTCGTGTCTTTCGTGTCCTTTTTGTCTCTGTGTCGTCGTTTTGTTTTCGCGCTATAAATATCGATTGTTGGCGTTGTGCCAGTTGCGCGCTTTCATACGTATGTTAGTTACGCGCACTTAAATCGCGTTCTGAACCAGTTGTTTAGAGACAGCAGAAAGACTTACTGAGTAAAGCAGTTTTTGAAATTTCAGAATGTCCACTTTTGACTCGACGAAGCCAGCCGATAGCTCTGAAAGTGAAGATGACGACTACGTTCCATCGGGTACGTGCTGCCGAGCTCGAGACTCATTCTCTCGTATCTTGGCCAATTCCCCGTAGAGGGTAGGAACCACTTTTAAGGAACAAGCAAGCTAGCAGGATGCGGCGAAATCGTCGCAAGCGCAGTCTGTAGATCATATACGTCTTATGTTATCTTTGTAGGCAATCGATGCTTACACTGTTTTGTACTACTGCTCTGCTATAGCGCGGCGGCTGGTTTCTGTCATTGTTGCTCTAGATTCTACATTCTGTTGTGTTGCCCCGTGAAACTTATCGTCATATAATGTCACAGCTTAAACATTAGTGTGCGTACTGATGTCACGCGGTTTACTAGAGTGACAGATTGTATGTTTACCTTTGCGTATCGTAATTTGAGTACTTTTCAACCGAGGAGAGCGAAGGCGATGAGTCGGATGCCGAAAACGACGCTGGGAGTGACGCCAAGGTGCCAGCTGGAAAGAAGCCTAAGAGGACAAAGAAAAAAACATTTGTCGAGGTGAGAATGTAGCCGTATGAAAATAGTGGCTTCCGAATTTGTGTCATTAACGAAATACCCACTAAAAATAATCATAATAGGCTAGTACCGCCCAAAAGGCATGACAGTTAAAAAGACACAGAAATCTCTGCACTTAACTGTGTCCACTCGTGAACCATTGTTCAGACAGAGGCTTAAATGGCCCTAGACCTCCCCAAGGACACAAGCCTACAGTGAACGTGAAGCTCCGAAAGCTTTAGACGTGGATAACGTTAGGCCAGTTGGTGGGGCATTGTACAAAAACTGAGCTTTCTGACACAGGCACGAAAGGTAGACACACACAGCATTGTGTGTCTACCTTTCTTGTTCATTTCATAAAACACTGTTTTTTCACTTAGTACAATGCAAGAACCTTTCAGGACGATGTTACAGTCGCAGTGTTACGGGCATTTAATGACCAACAATGCGGCTGCCACTCGTTTGGCGACTTATTTTGCTACTCTCGCACCATGTTCTCTCTCTCTCCTACTTACAGTGTTCTCTGTTGTCCTTTATGAAAGGGAGCACGTGACTGGCGCTTTGCGGTGGCCGCTAAAGCGATAAAAAGCATGTTCACTTTCACAGTCTTCTATCGACGAACAAAATGGCCAGCCTCAAGGCGCACGCTTGCCTTCGGACTGGCTGTGGCTGGCAGAAGTGCTGCTTGATACGCTCCCACTCTGATAGCGCAATCGGCGATACCTACAGCGCGTCGTCTGCTGCAAACAAATCAAGTGTGGTGCACGAATACAGTATATTCGTAGAAGCACTGTCACTCGCAACTCGCTAGAAGTGCAATTCGCTTATGCCAGTTGCACATGCCTAGGCAAGAGGGATGCATTTGGGCTGAGGCGTGGTTATAGTTTTCATATTGTGAAGTGTATCGGTGTACCCTGTGAAAACTGTCTTTCGATATTGAATCTCACTTCGAATGTGCCCATCTGTCAGCGAAAAAAAAAAGTACTTTGGCATTTCGTATATGTGCGCTTGCTGCTGTGACGCCAAGAATAAAGCACCCTTACCATGGTGACAGCAAGCTATATGTTCCGGGGTAAAGAAAACTTGAAGAAAAAAAAAGTTTTATATGTTAGCAATTATCAGAGAAAAGTTGTGATCACAAAACGCCATGACACATATTATTATGCTTACATAAAAATAGCAAATATTTTTTTTCTGTCTTAAACACCAAGGAAGTACAACTGCATTGTGATGTTACGAGACACCTCTGAATACCTGGTGGCATCCCCATTTGTTGCGACAACAGCTGCCATTCCTGAGAGCAGCGAGTTGTACAAGGCAGCCGTCGGTGACCTATCGCTTCTCAGCCACTGCCACTCCTCCTTTATGGCACCCCAGAGGTTGTCGGCAAAGGCCCGGCCGCATTTGTCTAGTGGCTAAGGAACTCAGCTGCTGACCCGCAGGTCGCGGGATCGAATCCCGGCAGCGGTGGCTGCATTTCTGATGGAGGCGGAAATGGTGCATGCCTGTGTGCTCAGATTTGGGTGCCCGTTAAAGAACCCCAGGTGGTCAAAATTTCTGGAGCCCTCCACTACGCCATCTCTCATAATCATATGGTGGTTTTCGGATGTTAAACCCCACATATCGTCGTCAGGTTGTCAGCAAAGCCTTCATGCAGAGACTGACTCGCTAGCACTGTTTTGAAGAGGCCCCACACATTCTCTATGATGTTAAGGTCTGGAGACTGGAGTGGCCAGTTGAGAGTGTTGATGCCACGACCCTCGAAAAAGTTTGTTACCTTTTGGGATGTGTGAACAGGCGAGTTGTCTTGCTGTAATACCCTTGTCACACGTAACAACTCAATTGCACTTTGTGCGAGTCTACTTACGCTCACAAAGTGTCATTTTGGCGGTTTGCTGCTATGTGAGAAAGCGAAGTGTACTTTGGAAATGATGATAGTGGTAATTGACGGGTTCGTAGCGCAACATATATTTATTTTTGCGCCAATGTCTCATAGTCTGAACACGTCTTCATGGAAGAAGCACCAGTTACATACGCCATCGTAAACGACTGCAGAACGACTCGCCTACACATGTGCAAGTGTGCCTAGAAGTAAACAGCATAACACATGCAGCTATCGCACAGCATTTGCTGCTGCATCCCCCTAGCGGGCGTTGCTGCAACCGGCTCGATCGTTAGAGTAGCGTGGATTTTTTTTATTTATGACTTGTTTTAATACATAGCATTATCCTTTGTAAAGGAAACAGTAGTTTAAAAATAGTATGAGCGCGGCTTTAGGCAACAGCGTATTTATGTGTAAGCCATTGGTACCAAGGCTACACACTTCGTCACAGTGAAGTAAGGTTGGGGAACACACTTGCCGGCTAAGTGCAGCGAGTGACACTAAACTTGCTCTTGTGACAGTGCACTAATGGCACTCGTAGCTAAGTGTACTCGCTCAAAGTGCATTTAAGATGCCACGTCTCACAGGGGAATAAGACGAAATCGCCCTCTGGGAAAGGACCATTCAGGAACTAGAACACCATCATGTCGTCCAGGATCAAGCAGTAGCACTCGGACTGTGTACTATGTGGACTAGTGGACAAAGCCCTTCTTTGGTAACAAGACTCCAAACGCACACTGCTGAATGGCTATTTGCCACCACTTGCTGGAGGTATTCTGATCTGTAACTGTATAAAAGCATCATTATATTGCCCATTCGCTGCTGATCAACAGTCACTTTACTTATCTTGAGTACACTTCATTTACGCCAACAATGTGTAACTCTATTGGGTTACATAGTACGCATACTTATAAAATCTATCCATGTCTACCTAAAGTACTACTTTATGTTTTTAATCGTGTTCCTATACCATTAAACTTACTCTTGTTTGTATTACCTCATCTTGAGACAGCACTTGGGCTGGCGGTGTGCCTCTGTCTGTGGCAGCAGTCAGCCTACTGCCACCTTTTCAGTGTCTATACTTTCAGGATATGCCAAACATGCTTTAAATATGAACTAATACGAATGACGATAATAATGTTAGTGATAAGACCAAACACAGCCATATAATAACACAAGTGAACATAATCATACCGCACCCTAAATGTGAAATTCTTTATTTTATATATGTGATATGAAACACTACAATACCGTAAAATGCATAAAAATGGCAATTGTCTAGTAGAGGTTTTTAAACATTTTTAGTTAATATTTTTACACAATAAACCTCACCTACCGACTGTTTCCTGGGGGCCACACTCTATGCCTCTGGTCCCACCGGGTCGTGAACAAGTTCTCATCAGTGAAAACATTCTCCCAGTCAGAAATAGTCCAAGGTTCGTGGTCCATTGCAAATCGCAGCTGTTTTGCTTGGTTTGTTTTTCGCATCAGAGGTTTCCTGCATGCAACCCTCTATCTTAGGCCAGCTTCTGCGAGGCGATGCTTCGCAGTTATCGTGCATGCCCTAATACTCAGTTCCTATAGCATTTTACGAGATGTTATCAGTGGTCTCGCTGCTCTTGCAGCTACAAATTCATGGTCTTCATCCGCAGTCCTTGCCCGTGGTCTCCGTCTGTGTGGAGCGTCCTTCACACGGTGTTCTTTTTTTAAAGGCTTACACTATACTAATTACTGTTCTAGGGGCCTTTTCATAATAGAGGCAATATGTCGCTAACTGCAGCCAGCAATGCAGAGCTTAAGTTTTTCTCGTTCCTCAAGTGGAACACGTGTGCCATCTTGATGGTTCTCTTCCTCGTGGCTCACAAAAAAAAAACTGAACTAAGCACGTGCATATTGCTTCTTATCAAGTCATCAAGCAATGGATTGAGCTGGGCGAGTTGGTAAATCATAACTACAAAAATGCGCGAAAAAGTGACAAGAAATGTTGACCTGGTTGTTTCATTCAGGAATAAGTTGGGCAAAGTCTGCACAGCGGTGGATAAGAAAATTGAAGGCATAGAAAAAAAGTGGTGTGATTGTGAGGTCAACCACCGGGAAACGTTTGTTGAATGTGGAATGGGTGCGGTGTATCTTATCCCCTTGTCATGTGGTAAGTGCTATATTGGACAAACTAGACGGTGTTTGAATAACAGACTAATGGATCGCGAGGAATCGCTGAAGACCCACCCTTTGTCGAATCTGCGCCTACATTGCAGGGATTGCAAGTGTTACCCATTACTTCGCAAAACAAGGGTGTCGTCCCGGTGCAGGGATAAAACAGCGAGAGAAGTTGCTGAGGCTTTTTACATACTAAAGTATGGCGACACATGTGTTGCGAGGCGTTCAGTGACTTTGAACCAACGAGAGATAGATTATTTCACTGCCAACCTCTAATCTTTCACGTCATTTTTTTTGTGCTAGTTATATATGTGTATCCTTCAATAAACTTTCAGTTGCTAGTCTGCGCTTGTGTGCATTCCTGCTCTGTTTCTGGTCACTTTTTCGCGCAGTTTTATAGTCGCAATGGATTGAGTATGCGAAAGTTTTCTCCCGCAGCATCGGCAAGCCCCCATGTTACTCGTGTAAACTAGCGCAGTCAGTGCTTTCTTTGTCTCTGTATTCCTAGATGTTCCTCGACATGAACTTGGTCCACCAACTCAACTTATAACAATGCTGCCGCTCGCCTGAAAACTGTGCAGCAGTTTTCAGGGAATTGGGGGCTGCACATAGTTTTGTATATACGTAGTGACAATGTGGAATCGCCACCATCGTTTACTTGATGTCCACTCATGCCCTTGGACGAACATGCTCGAATTCTGAGATTAGTACCAGGCAAGGAGGTCTCAGTCTTTTCCTTCAGGGACTTTCACGAGAAAATATCATTTCTGTATTTATTTACAACCCAGGGAAGATGACAGCGGAAGCTAAAGGATGATCACATGAACATTCTCATCTTTGTTCACTGGAGAACTATAATGCTGCGAATCAGCTTCTTAGAAACGTATTGATTGGTGGCTTATGGAAGTATACAATCTCCAAGGAGAAGCCATGGAGCTTGGATGATACAGGATATGACTGAATGACACTCTGTATCATTCATTCATAAACAACCACCACACCTCCACCTGCGTGCATCCCTCTCACCTGTACATCTCTGTTTTTGTCAAAGCGCAACTCACGTAAGCCGAGAGACAGTGCAAAAACATGTAGCAAGTGCTGGCACACCACCCTGTATTTGTTCGCAGCAGACGATGCATTGCAGGCATCGCTGGTTGCATGGTAGAAGTGGGAGCGTAATTCAGCAGTGCTTGTTTACGTGCCCTGACTGGTTATTTGGTTCACCAATAGGTGACGGCAAAAATCAAACATGTTTTCTTTTGCTGTCTGTTGATGGCGCTGAAGGCGGCGGCCGCAGAGTGCCGGCCATGTGCTCATGTGTTTCCTTTCATAAAAGACGACAAAGTACATCTCAAGGTCTTGTGTGGGAACGTCTTTGTTCAGGCTGTTGCTGTTATAAAACGTTGTCCATTATTGATTAACATGCCTGTGATCTTTGCTGTTACCCACTGTCGCTGTGTTCTTGCTCTGGCTCTAGGTTTAAACTTGCCGTGGTAGTGCACCAGCTTTTAATGTCATGAAACATGTACTATGTGAGAGATGCCTGAAGTACACTTTGCCAGCATGAGCTAATTATCTGTTCAGTGTCCATTCAGAGCTCCAGCGCATCTCCACAAGTGGCCACAAAAACATTTATTACAGTTTCTGCTCCAGACAAAGTACTACCCACTATAATCATCATCCTTTGCCTGTCCGATGGCCACTGCTGGAGTAAAGCCTCTCTCAATGATATCTAATTTACCGCATCTTTTGCGATTTTATTCTTGTGAATTTCTTGATTTCATCACCTCACCCTATTCATCGCTTCCCTCAGCTATGTAACTCACCCCTCCCTTAGTATCCATTCTGGCTTTAACTTACTACTAATTGTGCGTCCTACGAATTACGTTTCCCACCCTTTGCATTTACTTTTCCCTCCTTAATCTCACTATGAATATTGGCTATGCCTGTTTACTTTCTTATCTATCATAATGTGACGAGCCAGCGCCCCCACTCCTTTTTTCAGATCTGAAGTAAGTGTTAATGGGACCCCTTCCAAATCTAGTTGGATTATCTTTCACCATGGGGGGGCGGTGCTCAGTATTTTTCGGTATTCTCTTTTCCTTTCCATTCCATCGCTCACTGCTTGGTCCTTTGCTTTTACAGCGTAGCTGTATGTAACTAAGCCATTCGTAACTCTGCCAACAGTCACCTACGTCGCAGCTACCTATTCAACAGAAAAATATCGTCGTCATAAATGGCCCCAACCTTCAGTTAAAAAAAAAATTGATTGTGGCCATGCAGACTAAGCTAAACATCAGCTGGCTAACTGTGCAAATTGGTTGGCATTACTGCGAGCCTGAGAGTAATATCAAGTATGAACGTATCTTAAGTCCATAGTTACCTACCACAAAACCCCTAGCAGGTGTGTGCCACAGAAATTGTGGACCCCACCACTCACCACTGGTCCTCTCAACAAGAAAGTTATAAAAATGAAATTAACAAAACATATCTAAATACACAAGTAAACCTACGTTCTGCTCTTCTGGCCCTGTGAATTGAAGTGGAATTGCTTTAAAAGAGCATACGCTAAAGTAAAAAATTATAAATCAATTTATATATAAATGAAAAATAAGTTGCTACACAGCAGCTATGCTGGTCATCCACTTTCACAGAGTGCAATGGCTCATTAATTTTTTCAAGATTATTTGTTATCTTTCAAGTTCAGCCTCAAATGTTTGAACTGGCAATAGGTAGTGATTGTGCATTTTCGCTTTATAGACAGTGGTAAATTGCCTGCCATAATTTGGGATGTCTTGTCATAAGCATTCCAGCCTATTCTTTTTGGTGAATTTTTTTTTTTTTTTTACTGTTGTGATCATCAGTCTGACTACATTACTGCAGGACAAAGGCCTCTCCCTTGTTCCGCCAATCAACTTGGTCCTATGCTTGCTGCTGCTAATTTGTACCTGCAAACTCTTAATCTAATCTGCCCACCTACCCTTCTCTATCCCCCTAACTTGCTTGCCTTCTCTGGGAATCCAGTTAGTTACCATAATGACCAGCGGTTAATCTGTCTACGCGCTACATGCCCAGCCCATGTCCATTTTCTCTTCTTGATTTCAACTATAATATCCTTAACCGCCGTTGTTTCCTAATCCACTCTGCTCTCTTCTTGTTCTTAAGGTTACACCTATCATTTTTCTTTCCATTGCTCGCTGCGTCGTCTTCAATTTAAGCTGAACCCTCTTTGTAAGTCTCCAGGTTTTTGCTCCCTAGCTAAGTACGGCAAGATACAGCTGTTTATACTACTCCCTCTTGAGGGATAGTAGCAATCTGCCTCCCTTCTTTATGTCAACTATCATATCCTTAACCCTGGTTTGCTCCCTACTCCATTAGGCCTCTTCTTGTCTCTTAAGGTACACCTATAATTTTTTTTTCCCATGCTCGCTGCGTCGTCCCTCGATTTAAGCTGTGTTGGCTCTTTTTTCAGTTATTGACCTTGGTATACATACCCCTGCCCACTGTGAGGATGCCGACATTGAGGCGATTGGGAGCAGGAAAACTGATGTAGGCACCAAGGTGTAGCCACAGCAAATGCCCCTCTGTAGGAAATTCACCATGTCACCGGCCGGCCAGCTGCTATAAAAAATGGGTCCTAAAATCCTACCTTTGACAGGCAGGAAAATAGTGCCATTCGCAAGCAAAACTGCTAATATATTTACAGGAGAGTTTTACAAATTTTCAGAACATTTAGTATACTATTAAAAATTTCTTGTAACTACTCAATGACTACGTGTTTAGGATGCTTAAAATAAGTGCACTTTCTGATAGATTATCGATCCATGTGCCAGTGAGATATTGAAGAAAGTTAATGGTTGGTTTATGTGGTTTAGTGTCTAAAAGTGACCCACTTTTTGACTGACCCCTTGGTGTAAGCCACCAGATAATTTGACCCACCCGGGGTTCTTTAATGTGCACTGACGTCAGATAGTACATAGGCTAGTCGCATTTCACCTCCATTGAAATGTGATCACTTCAGCAGGGATAAAACCATTAAGTCCGCAGCTATGTATCATATCTCGTTGTACTACCACGGCACATAGAAAATTGCTAATGACACTGTTCATAATTTGTTAGAATTCAGTTTACTTTGCTGTTTACTACATTCATTTGCATAATTCTAACTGTTCTATGGCATGTGTATGTCCTTTCTTTCTTCTTCCAGGAAGTGTAAGGGTGGAATCTATTTGGAGGGTGAAGTTAGTCCAGCACACGGAAGTCCTGATAAAGCAAATGATGTCGAGGAGCTAGTTCCTGCACTCAACCCGGACGAGGAAAAGAAGCGAGCAGATGATCTGTGGTCTGATTTCTTGCGTGATGTTGAACCTAATCCTAGGAAACGCACTGTTCCTGCTGCAAATGTTGTCTCTGTAAGTTGCTTGTCTTAGCATTCAATGCTGAAACTGAAACATTTTACTAAATATTTTATAGAAGTTTATGGAGACACAAGCTCAGGTTCTTCATTTTTCAGTGGAAGATGTTGTAAGGTCATAACAGATGATTTGGGTGGCGTAGTTGTCCGCTGTCTCCACAATTGACTGTGTAATTCATTCACAATGAGAAAAAAATTGTCCAAAATCAAGTGGTATTTGAATCCAGGCCCCTTGCGTGGCAGTCATGTATTATACTACAAAGTACTACGCCAGCGCTTGAAGGGGCCCTCGAACACTATTGAAGCACGTATTTTTTATCCGGGGTTTGCGTAGACCGATAGCTGGAGATTATTTTAGCGTGGGTCCAAGCGCCGATATCACATGATTTAGTATTTTAATCACGCAATAAAATCACTACTGCCAACCGAATTACCACGTAGTGGCGCTCGCCAGAACTTTACCGGCGGAAATGACGCGGGAAGGTTGCCGCTATATCATTGGATAGATGTAACAGAAGCGATCGTGGTGTAGGATCAAAACTGATTTTCATTTTTCTTCTGTGCTTTTTCATCGAACCCTGAACAGACGCGGCCACAACAACAACAAAAAAACGCGACTACAAAGCACGACAGGGACGCTAGCTGCCATTTAGCCTCTGGATTTTTGGCTTGCGCGGGTCGGATGTATATACGAAAGACCTCTCTCTTTTTCTTGCCTCTTCTTGCTTTTGGGAGTTTGCAAGCTGCCTCTTTCCGCACGTGTGCAGTTGAAAGGGTGCAGTGCACCATTGTTGTTCGTTGAGTGGCTCACCAAACAACGCGCGTAGGGTCAACAATACTTCACTGTCTTGGTATTTCCACAAGTTACTTTCTCAGAATAAAAGGAGAGATTGACTCGGAATGTTGTAAAAAACAGCAGAAAATACCTCGCTTCGACACAGTAGCTCCTGCTCACATTCTGGCAAACCAGGTGTCAGCCACCACGCTTGTTACTGTGGCAACAAGGTCAACATGACTTTAAAAAAAAAAAAAACAAGCAACAGTGGGGTGCGAGCTTCTCATACGTAGGCACTTCCAGCTTATTTCATTGGGGCAGCCTTCCGACGTCATGGGTCAGTGAAATGTTGTCAAGTTACCCCGCGAAAATTGAGTTGAAGGTCAGCGGTTTTTTTTTTTTTTTTTCAACTTTCAAAGTCGAATAACTTCAAATTGCGTGCTATTACCACTGCCATTTTCGCTGCATTATTCTGCCTGCACTTCAGTCTACATAACCCACGAATAAAACATGAGGGGTTAAAGAGTGTTGGAGGGCTCCTTTAAAGCTCCTTTGCAAAAAGATCCTATACAAGCATCATGTCGAGCACAGAATGACATTAACCGAAGTAATGTAGCATGGTAGAGGAGCAAAATAATGACCAAGTGTCACAATATGCAAATGCCACAACTGGTGGTTGGTTTGAAGCTTCCCACTCATAACAATGTGCTTTTCCGTAATTCATCAGCTACAGCATGAACGAGGTGCACATAATGACTTACATACCATGCTTACACGATTGCAGGTCGACCAATTTTGTCCGTTTAATTTTGAAATCCGCAGTTAGGGGCTCTACCTAGTACAGACAACTACTCCCGGTTACCAAGTCACATCTACGACAGAGCTATTCATTCATAGGAGTTGCCAAATTCTCCATAGGCTCCATGCATTGAAACTTTTGAAAGCGGGACACTTCACTGACCGAGTCCTTGGGAGTGAGCAAATTGTCGCGTCACCTGTTGATAGGCACACCCACTATTAAGCGCAATATTTGTGTTTTGTGTTGCTGCTGCCAGATGGCACCGCAGTCTACTCCCAAATAGAGATAATGTATATGCTACCTTAAGCTAGCGCAGTTACGTATATCTTTTCCTCCCGCCGCTCGCGCCGCTATTGGGCGACCGCTGTCACGTGGTGCAAAGTGATCTCAAATGTTCCATTTCACACGGCGAAGCCAACTATACGTGCACGATGGTACGGCACCCGCGCGTTCTCTGCCCGCATCGACTTCAGTCTCATTGTTACAACCGTTGGGGGCTTTTAGCATGTACTTATACGACATGCGTTACGATATTACCGGATATAATCTGCGCATGCACGAGTTTTTACAGAACGTAAACCTTTACGCAACATAAACTACTCGCTGGGTAGGCTTTACGTTTGTGGCGCTGTTTCGCGAATTCACCTTCGCTTGTAGGAACTCGCAATATCCGCATTGCGGAGACTCCACACATCCTGTCACAACAAGCCGAAGTGTGAGCGTCAATAGAGATTGCATTGTTTCAGCAGAATTGTTAAAGGTAATATGGCCAGAACATTGAAGCCGCAAAAGTGTCAGCCCCCGACAGACCAGATAGGTGGTGCCATCTGGCAGTGCCAAAAGAAGGTAATCACAAAAATGTTATTGCAGAAATGATGTGCATCGTACGTCTGGTGCAAATATTACGAATGAGTTACTTTTTAAAAAAATAATTTTCACCTCATTTAAGTAATAGTTGATTGAGTTTAATCCCAAAACCACCATATTATTATGAGCGACGCCGTAGTGGAGGGCTCCGAAAATTTCGACCACCCGGGTTTCTTTAACATGCACCTAAATATAAGCTTACGGGCCTCAAGCATATTCGCCTCACTGCAACAGAACAGTCATGCTCATTGCGCGCGAATAAGTCTGCGGCACGCCGCGCAGTTGCGCTGGCACATCGCGCCGTATTTTTCTCTTGAGCGCGCGATGAGTGGCTTCACTGCACAGCCGTTAAACATAATGGCGGCACTATGCGCAACTTTGCTCCCATAGGGAGCATATACAGTAACTCTACTCCCCAAAACTTGAACTCCAGAAAAATCGGGCCAACTTCAGTGTCCGGGTTTCGGAACGCAGTTCTTTTGCAAATCGTTGTTGGCTGCGAGTCCAGCGACTGAGCTGCGAAGAAACATGGGCACCGGGTAAACGAAAAACAACCAGTCATCGCAGCAAGAGGAAGTGTGTTGCGACTCATCAAGTTCGCCGATGACGTCTATCGCTGAGGTCTTACCACATTGCCGAAGTGGGCAAAGTCACGGCGACAGGCCACGCCTTCTCCTTCCGGGTGGCGAGACTGCGTGAAAATTTAAACCAGCTGTATGCGATGTTCTAGCCCCTGTAACTTGCTTAAAATAGCACATATTCGAGAAATTCTTGCGGCAACAATTTTTGGACCTTGGGGTTGTGTACTGGCCCTTTAAGGCATTTATTTGTCTGTGTTCTGTCGTTATGTAAACATAGAATTATACACTGACCCCTTTAAGGCATTTATTTCTCTCTGTTCCCCGCAGGGGCGCCTGTGAAAGCAGGCGTTTGGTGTGTAGCGACACCACGGACCCGAGCTAACGGGGGGGTTTCGACTCCCTCCCTCGCGTAGCCGTGCGTGGCTTTGCCGTGTCCGGGGAAAAGGGGATCCTGGGGGTTGAGCCGACGCTTGGTGATTGGACCGTTAAGGCCCCCCGGCAGAGGCAACACGCCTCTTTGGCCCCGGCTTCACGTAGACGGCACCCCTGGGCTGACCCACCCAGGGGGAAATCGGCAGTCGCCTTTTCCTATCTCTCTCTTGCTACATCTTCGTCTTTATCTCTTACTATTGATCTGCCCTGTCTTCTACTCTCTTCCGTTTACTTCCAAACTTCCTGGCGGCTAGGATTAAGCCTGTGCATATAGCCTACCTTGGTCTAGGCGCATTGGGTTATAGTGGCGTTGTACGGCTGGCGTCTGCAGTTTTCAGCATCTGTAAACTTGTAGCGTCTTCTCGTTGGGCTCCGTGGTGGGTGGCCGCCAACGCTGCTGAACAAAAATAAGCAAGGCATGCATAGTGCATTCCCCCTACTGTCTGATCGTACCGGCTTAAAGCGGGTACGCACCGATGATATAAATTTTTTCAACCAGCCAAAAGAAACATATCCTCACTTTCATGTTATCCACTGTGAAAAAACTGAAAAGCAAGCCAGGACCGTCTCTCCTTTCCTAGTTTCTAGATGTCTCACCGAAACTCTTGGCACAGGATACAAGGTAACCAAAATGGCTAGTGGAGACCTCCTCCTCGAAATCCGCGACAAAGAACAATTTGAAAAGCTAGACCGTCTTTCAGATTTCGGTGGCATACCAATAACCATAACACCACATAGATCAATGAACACAACTCGCGGAGTCGTATCTGACATGGACTTACTTGACTTGACTGAGACTGAACTTTTGGAGGGGTGGAAGAGCCAAAATGTCATTAATGTACAGAGAATCATCATCAGGAAACACCGACAAAACACTTAATACTCACGTTTGCATCCAGTAAACTACCGGAATCTATTCAAACAGGGTACACAAAGACATCTATCAGGCCGTACATACCAAACCCTCGTCGTTGCTTCCAAGGCCAGAGGTATGGCCATGGCTCTAAAACCTGTCGTGGTCGCCAGACTTGTGCACAATGTGGAGTCCTAGGCCACGTGTCTGAGAACTGCAATCAACCGCCACACTGTGTAAACTGCGAAGGAAACCATGCCGCATCTTCACGCTCCTGCACATACTGGAAAAAAAAAAAAGAAATAATTACATTGAAGGTGAAGGAGAACATTACATTTAAGGAAGCACGGCGAAGAGTCACTCCATTCTATGGGTCTACATACGCTGATGCGGCGCGTCAGGGGGCACCGCCGCACCAGCCCTCGCCACACCTTCGGCCCGTGCATACCGAGCCGGTGATTGTGGCACCTGCCCCTAAGGCGGCTGTAGCCCAGGCTACACTGCCTACTCCCAAACAGAGACCGGAGACTCCAGAGTCCTCGGGTCTCAAAGCCTCACCTCACCAGGCGAGGCCCGAAATTCGTACTAACAGCCCGCACGTGCGGGCATCCAGTGCCTCCGAGGAGGCAATGGATACATCGGTACCCTTGGGGCCGAAAGAGCGGCGTGGCTCCTTGGAGCGCGCCAAGAAAACAAAAAAGCAGATAACAGGGCCTGGTGACGGCCCTGTTAAGTGAACTCAAACTCCCTGTCTAAACAGCCACTCGCTT